GCTCAGAAGGATAGCGCTGCCGCTTTTCCCTTTCCCCCCCCCCCAGTTTACCTTTTTGCAGCTAAATTCTTCATCACCTGCACCGCTTAAAGCGCCTGACTAACATGTGATGCAGTACCAAGTGTGTTTGTGCGTGTGTGGCACGTTTTGTGGGTCTGTCTGTCAGCAAATACCTTACCACCTGTTTCCTGACGAGTTGCTTACTCACTACAGCCGGTTGTCCTTATTCGTGGAGCAGTCTGTTTTTTAATGTTTCTTACGCAGGCTGTCTGCACATGACTATAGTCTAAGCCTTCGCATCTAGTACCTCTAGTTTAATTCTAGTAACGCAGGATGTAAAAGATTGTCAAACTGGACAATGTTGTCAACCCCAACGTGATTCCAGTGCGTTTGGATTGGTTTTCCCATACTAGGGTCAGTCTATGTGCGATATCTGTGTGTACCGGATGCCTGAAGCAACTGGTTTCGTTTCACTACCTTCTAGGTGAGTCATCATCCCCCTGGCTCTGCACTCTACTGTGAATCCGTTCACCGCGGATGGAAAATATGGCTTGAGTTTTACTTGGTCAGCAAGTTCCGCGGCAAGTACATGTCGGTCTTTCCAAAAGGTAAGCTTCGGTATGAGTTTCTCCCGTCTGTAGTTTTCTGCTGGTATGTATATTTCACCGAAATGTTCAAGTTAGTTTAAGTCAACAGCAGTTACAGGTGCACGTTGTGTGGCAGTAAAGCGCTGGTGTCTTCCTGTGGGTGATCGTGACGATACGTCAACAGCCGTACTCCAGCGAATTCATATGGAATCCACTAGACACAGTCTGTCTACTGTACTACCTAACACAACCTTATTTATGCTTCCGACATCCACTTGGTCCCTAAATAAACCAGCTACCTGGATTGTAACCGTAGATCTAACTTTTCCCTGAAATTGCTTTGTAGCCCCCTTCGTGTCCGTACCCTTTGAACGTTATTTTCCCGACCAACCCTAGGTACCGTCAATCTACTGTTGCCTGACGGATCGCGCTACACTTGGACGAAGGCGACCACCGTAGTTCACAACCTCATTGTTGGTAGTCTCTGGATTGACAATTATGGAGATGTGGTGATCCGCAATCATACCTCCGGTTATAACTGCCCGATGCGATTCATTGCCCACTCATATTTCGGTCGGGGTCCTCCAAAACAAGTAGGTCCGCGGTGAAGTGTCGGTGTTGATAGCCCTGATGTTGGTGTCGAGTTTTGCGCACTCATACCCGAACTGAGTTGTTTTTCCGAACCCTTTATAAAAAGGACTTTTTCCGCATTGAAGTTTTTGCCTCGCTGATCTACGTCAAAGAGCTATAGCCGGAATCCTGATTACGATTGGTGCAGTTCATTGAGAGGACATCAGTCAGATAAAATGCTTTTTTGCATAATCTGGTAACATGGTGAAATCGATGACGCACTGAAGCGTTAGGTGATAGTTAACATCTACCGCATACTTTTGACTACTGGATTTTCGGTGTTAATTAGATAACGTGCTGTTTGATCACAACATTTCTCCCACGATGTTTAGCCTCCGTTTATCAATCTGTCAACACACAGTTTGCTATGGTGTCGTGTGTCTATTTAGTCCTGGCTCGTAGCACACACATTTTGAAACTACGTCTAGGACTGCTACTTCTTGAGGACGGAAAGTGCCAACAGCGCGCGACTCCACCATCGGTACAGTGGTTTTTCGCTTCAGTAGTCAAGTTTGTCGCTGACTTTGGTCGCAACAAATAAGTGGGTTGAAAGTCGTGCTGCGTGTCCGTATCTGATGCACAGAATGGTCCCACTACATAGGCGTATGTTGTGCCCGAGCAATCTCCTTGTAATATATTTTGCCGTAGGGTCTTGGGTGAAAATGCATCGGCTTCGCTTGTCCTCTGAGACATTACAGTACACTGCGACCCTTTGTTTCCAAGGCATTTGCCATGTTTCCACTGTAGCTATGTTAGACTTATTTAGATATTTAGATATTTATTTGATATATTTGATAGATGTGTCAGGGTCTGTTGGTCCACAGTCTCCTTCATTCTAAATGTCTCTTCTATTTTGTTACTTTTCATCTTGTCAAAAGAGATGTGTCATTCACAATTAACTTAATGACAAGAGTGGTGCTAACTAAATAGCTATTTTTCCAACAACTGGCCCAATGGATTCTAGCGCTGTCTGTGCTCTCCATAGGGTGATGCAAGTGTTAGGATAGCTAGGTTGGTAGGACAGCTAGGGTTGGATCTTTTTCCTTTCGTGTTGCTGCTCATCTCATTGGAATCCGACACTACTTAGCGAAGTAAAACACCTCTAACGGATCTCCTTCATGGGAAATGTTTGTATGGTTTGTAACCAGGTCACTATAATTGATTTGAAACAAATTTCTTTAGATAATTCTCTGTGTTGGTGAGCGCTGTTATTAGGCTAATGAATTTTTGCCTGTTCCATGTATCGAGCAATGCCTAATTTGGGGATGAGCTAGTTGGTTGCAGCAGCTGTCCAATCGATTTCGCGATGCTACAGTTTGAGGATAGTGTACTCTAAAAGTCGTCGTCTTCCGCTGTGATCCACTGTCACATCTGACATCCTACCACATGACCGGCCCGAATACTATTCCTTCTATTACCTTCGTTTCGTTCTGCTCGTAGATGTTTCTAATTTCGTTGAAAACCGACGCTTGAAATGATTTGACTTATCTGTTCGGTTTGTACTTCTTAATATGGTTGTTTATTTCGTGTATTCCACTTGTGGCTGAAAATATGTCATTCATATTAGTCTCATCTGCATGCCTATGTGTAAATGGGACCTACGATTTCTTTTCCTCACCATTTTGTCATCGTCGGTTTTTCATTGTCTGAGCTGCTCATGAATGTTTGTTATATGCCTCATGTTTGACCCACTTATTGTGCGTCTTGTAGGTTACCGGTGTGATTCAGAACCCTTCGGGAACCCCTAAATGCCTCATCCGTGGCTGCTGGGATAGTCACATAGAAAGTCAACCTGTTTCTGAGGACGGTTCACCTATTGGTGACTCAAAACTTCTGTGGCGAGCCACACCACCCCCACCGGGTTCCGAAAACGTAAGTGTAGCTTCATTTCTTTATGCGGGATCCATTCACCCTTCGACAAACTTCTTAGCGCTTAGCACAAAACCTCTCTCGGTCAAACATATCGGCTTGTTTTTAGACTTTTCAACCATCATTTATGACGGGGTGTATCAATTGGTGGTTCTTACGTGCGGGTCGCACCGAAGTGCTCCCATTCACAGCTATTCGCGTTACTTATTTAAATGGTAATTGGGCTATCAGTTGATGAACGCGTTTCGCTTATCAGGTATTTGGATAAGAATGGATGCGGCAGAGTGTATTTTTGCATACCTGCTTGGCTTTGTATCCTTTTGATGCTTACCAGTAACCCTGCACTCAGCATGTATCACACGAATAGGTTTCTAATTACGGCCTGCAGTGGTGCTAAGCTATCATTAGAACCCTAAATCCGGATTGAAACTATCAGAATGTGGCCTAGCAGTAGTGCAAACTAGGGACTGCTACCAGCCGAATGAGTCCGATTCATGGCACATCTTGTTCCTAGTGATATCCTGATGTGCCGTCACGAAGAGACTGGACCTTACTGTGGTGTGATGGTTTGCGCACCTCAGCGATCCATTGAGCTATACTGGAGTATCCCGCGACACTCACAGAGTCTCTCATACCAGATTGGTCAATGGTTAGAGGTCTGACGAACACAGTCTCCTGGCCCTCCAGGTTGGGGATTGGAACATGTGGCGACTTGTTCCGTAGAAATGGTAATGCATTTGCATTTACCGCCAAACACCGCTGCCTTGCGGTTAGGCTTTTGAGCCAAGGGCTTTGGTTGAGGACCCTAATCGTCCTCCTGTCTAGGTGTGGGCGCCCTGGCAGTATCCCAGCCCACGTACAACCATGAATTGCACATACACAAATAAACTCATGCCACATCGGCCGTCGCGTGGTACCATCAGCCGGGTCGCCTTACTTGCTGCATACAGCCGGGCGGGTAAGCGAAAACAGGCTACTGCTGACGCCTCCCTTCTTTCTCCTTCACATACTTTTTCTCCCCCCTCTCCCCACCCCATAACTTCCTCCTTGTAGGCCCAGCACTTAGGACTGATGACTCCGTTCGTCATGCATCGGTTTTGCGTGCAGCGTCTGCTCGTCACATGGCGCCGACATCTTCAGGAATC